GCTGTAAAAACGGAGGGCAAAACCCACTGAACAAGCGGTCTCGCTTAGCAGGAGAAATGTTGAGACTGGCCAGCACGTCGCGACGTGGAGCTCAAAGCAACCCAATATCCCCATTGGCTGAGAGCGCCAGGCGGATCCCCTGGGAAAAGATTGACTTGATCTGAGCCGCTTGGGGGGGTTGCTATAGCCACAAGATCGCAAGCCCTGGGTTGAGCTGGGGAAGGGAAGGATCCTAGATGGGGAGTTCTTGAAGTAGACCGCCATTTACCAAAAACAAACAGACATATAGGTGAACACTGAATTCCCACAGCCCTGTCTTCGTTTCTCACCTTCTCCTTTCTCCTGCTATCTTCTCCTATGGGTTGGTCATGATTTATCACTTGCTGTTGGTTATCTTATAATTTATTTTCTCTCTCTGATCAGTTTGTTGTTTGTATGTATATTAAGAGCTTCTACGCCAGAGACAAACCCCTTGTGTGTCTGATCACACTTGGCAAATAAAGAATTCTATTCCCGATTAACTATAGCACATAAAAATAAAGAGTCTTCAACATTTTATGATAATTGGAACTCGTGGTATAATTGGTTATTTCAGAGATAAACTGCTTAATGAACAATGGGTAATTTAAGCATAGATATTGATAAGATGTGTGTATTTAAATTAAGGTAGGAGAATTGGATCTTGCAGACTGTCAAAAAGGATGTCTGTTTTTAAATGTATTTTCTTTTCTCTTCCGTTTCTTTCTTTCTTTCTTTCTTTTATATCTCTTTTTCTCTTCTTTTTTTGGTTCGTAAGACCGAGTGTTTTTCTCCCCCTTTTGTATATGTAATGTCGATATGTTTTTAATTGTAAATTCAATAAAATTTATTAAAAAAAAAAAAAGAATTCTATTCCCATTCCCATCCCGATTCCATTCCATGTTTTCTATTTAATTCTACTCTGTTTTGTTCTTGTCCTTTTTTCCTATTTCTATTCTCTACTAGCTGGATACTTGTGCTTTACTCAGGTCACAAAACTATGTGATCAGGCTTAGTTTTGGGGGAGGAAAATAAGGGGAGCGGGGGGAATTTCTGCCTCAGCCTACCAGCATCCATCGGTATTCATCTGGCTAGAGTCCTCTCGGTGTGTGAGAGAGTTGAGGGCTGTTTGGAAACTGAAACAGTATTTGCTGTGTGAGCAAGAAGACAGACAGCAAGGAGCCTGGGTGTGGCTTAGCTCAACTGTTCTGTACTAATGCTGCTTGGTGCTGTGAAACTGAAACTCCTCTGCTTGTGTTTTGCGTTTGGAAGAGATTTCTTTCCAGGTGGGGAGGGGGAGTAGACCTCCTTAGCAGCAGAGCATGTTAATAATAATAATAATATAGGAAATACACTAAATGCTCTGATGGTCATTTGGAAAAATCCTTTCTTAGCATCTAGAAGCCAAGAGGTACATATGAGCTAAATTTCAAGTTTGTAGGCTTTACAGTTCTGGAAATTTTGCGATGATGTGTGAGGGGTATTTCGCTTTTATGTATATATAGAAGATTAATTCAGCCTGGCAATTATGGTCCTAAAGTCAGGACTTATTGGTTTCTTTTGTATTTTAATCTTCTGAATAAATAAGAAAGAAAATCGACGGAATAAGTTGTGACAGTCGGGGAGTGGATCAACATGTGGCCGGAGCCAATTTTACAACCTGTTTTGTGGCAGCTGTTAAGCAAACGTAGCCGTCGTTAAGCCATGGTTTATCTATGGGGTGCGTTTGGCAACGGGTCATAAATAGCTTTTTGGGAACGTGTCGTATAGATAGTCCTCGACTTACAACGACAATCGAGCCCCAAATGTCCGTTGATAACCAAGACAGTTAAATGGGTTTTGTCCCGTTTTACGAACTTCCTTGCCACGGTGGTTAAGGGAATCACGGCAATTGTTCTGTGAGTAACACAGTTTGTTAAGTGAATCAGGCTTCCCCAGAAGGTTGCTGGTCCGAAGGTCCCAAAAGGGGATCATGTGACACTGCAACCGTCAAAAATGTGAGTCAGTTGCCAAGCGTCAGAATTTCGACCACATGACCGCGGGGGGGATGCTGCAAACGGTCGTTAAGTGTGATCTACGAAGGGGCTTCGTAACTTTGAACAGTCATACCAGCAAATGGTTGAACGTTGAGGGTGCCCTGAATTCAAGGAGTTGCTAAGCAGCCGGTTATAACTCAAGGACTCCCTCTAATAGGAGAACATCCAACTCTCCTTGTTTTGTAGCAAAAAAAACCTTGGGAAGGACTCAAGGATTAACACAACCACATAAGGAACAGCAGACTGTTGCAGAAATGTACAGGTAATCCTCGAGTTACGACCACAATCGAGCCCCAAATTTCGGCTGCTAAGTGAAACATTTGTCAAGTTGAGTTTTCTGCCATTTTTACGACCTTCCTGTTCTGACTTAGACCTTCCCAAGATCCTGAAGCTGACTCCTCATCCGGATAAAACCCCTTTTATTTAGGTTCAAGGAATTCCTCTCCAGCAAAGAGCCTTTCAAGAGATCTCACAACCACAGACCTTGATCAGGCTGGGAGAGTTGCCAGGCCGATAGCTCCCAAATGCCACGCTGTAGCAGCAATGACTTGGCAAGGAGTCAGGAATAGATCTTCACCTGAATGAATTGAACTAATTGTCTCCTGCAAAGCCCCACTCCTCTTTCGCTCCTCTTTTATTCCCTATAGGAGGGGCCATTCATCGTCCACCTGAGCCTTTACTCCCCAGTTGGCCCTTGTTCCTTAGCTGTTCCCTTCTCCTGGCAGCTCTGCGCATGTGCACACTGGGAACAGGCTCCAGCTGCTCTTCTTCCCCGCTGATCTCCGATTACGAAGGCAGCTGATAACTGTCCCTGGCCCCATCTCTGCCTCTGCCACAGAGCCCGTCCGAGCCTTTCCCAGACTCCAGGACTGGCCCAGGTTCCTCCCAACCTCCTCACTGTCCGAGTCTGCCACCAGTTCCACTGGCAGGCCACAACGACTTCCTTGCCCCAGTTGTGAAGTGAATCATCGCCTTTGTTAATTGAGTCACACGGTTGTTAAGTGAATCTGGCTTCCCCGTGGACTTGGCTTGCTGGAAGGTTGCAAAAGGAGATCGCGCGACCCCGGTACACTGCAACTGTCATAAGTATGAGTCAGCTGCCAAGCGTCTGAATTGTGATCACCTGGCTTGGGCACGCTCCTATGGTCGTTAGTGTGAAAAACGGTCATAAGCCCCTTTTTTTTCCAGTGCCTTGTAATTTCAAACGGTCACTACATGAATTGTTGTAAGTCAAAGACTCCCTGTATTCCTTCAGCATCTCCTTGAGGAAAACTGCAGCAAATGAATCTGTTTTCAAGTCGTTTAAGGGGCGTGCGTAAGTGGACAATTGTGCCTACTGTCCGGTGGTGGGATTCCATTTTTTTTTACTACCGGTTCTGTGGGCGTGGTTTGGTGGGTGTGGCTTGGTGGGCGTGGCAGGGGAAGGATATACTGTAAAATCCCCCTTCCCTCCCCACCCCACTAGCCTGCTTTCCAGCTCCGTTCTCCTGTGCAGGGCAACCAAAGGAGACCCAGCCGATCAGCTGGGACTCAATGGGAGGCAGAGAAGAGATGGGGTTGGTGGGGCCAGTCAGAGGTGGGATTGGCCGGTTCTCCGAACCACTCAAAATGTCCGCTACCGGTTCTCCAGAACCGGCCAGAACCTGCTGAATAGCACCTGTCCTATTGTCCCCATGTATTCGTACCTATTTCCTCTACTCTTACTCGTGTTTCTATCCCTACCTATTACCTTGTAAGCGATTGACAAATGAATAAAATAAAATAAAATTTTGCAGGAGAGTCCAGAATTTGTCACGGTCAGGAAAAGGATCGACCGATCACCGTACCTGGCGGGAAACGTCGGAGGGAACGTCTTACATCCAGCAGGACTTGCTGATAATCCTTGCTGTTTTCCCGAAGTTCTTCCTCTAAACGGAACAGCGAAGAATATCATAGTTAATTGTAATTACTTAATTAATTGTAATTAAAGACAGACCAGGAAACTGAGGAAATGTGCCGTTAAACCATTGACGATTTTCAGCCAGGCTTGCTTTGTGCTCTGACATCTCTTAAAAAAGATGGTTAAGGAGGCTCAGGGAGACAGGGAGTCTCGCTTTGCAACTAACCAACATCATGAAAAGTCCTCGACCTGCAACAGTTCATTTAATGACCGTTCAAAGTTACATCATCGTTGGAGAAAAGTGACCGATGACCGTTTTTCACCCTTACAACCATTGCAGCATCCCCAGCGTCACGAGATCAAAATTCACGAGACCCTTGGCAATGGGTTCGTACTTACGACGGTTGCAGTGTCATGGCGTCACGTGCAAGGGTGGGATTCTACCGGTTCTGACCGGTTCTATAGAACCGGTTGTTAGGATTCTGCCAAGTTTGGAGAACCGGCAAATCGTACCACTGGCTGGCCCTACCACTCCCCGCCCCGCCCCGCCCCCTCACTGCTTACCTGGCATGCGCGCCATCCAACTTGCCCGCGTTAGCCTAATTTTTGGCAAGTTGCTATTTTTCCTTTTTTTCCCCTGACCATCATCTGACTATCAGCTGTGCTGGAGATTTAGATTAGCTAGAAAGCAGGAAACCGTTGGATTTCTTCCTTTCTAGCTAATCTAAAAGCAGAGCCGAACCTTCCTACCTTCTATTTTTCAGTGCAGACTCAGGTAGTAGATTGCAGAAAGATAGATCTCTGAGTGAATCTGTGATTCTGGGAGCAACTCAATCTGCCTGCCTGGGAGTAAAAATTGCTCTTTTTTTAATAAAAAAATTCAATTTTTACATAATGGTGTGTTAATTTTGTGAGTTTGCTTGCAAGCAAATTTTATGTGAGAGACCCAGGTAGCAGATTGCAGAAAGATAGATCTCTGAGTGAATCTGTGATTCTGGGAGCAACTCAATCTGCCTGCCTGCTTTGCCTTTGGGGTAAAAGTTGCTCTTTTTTATAAAAAATTCAATTATTTACATATTTACAATATTTACATACAAGCCATGCCCAGTCAGTCATGTGACCACCAAGCCACACCCAGTCAGCAAGCCATGCCCACCCAGACGCATGACCACCAAGCCACACCCACAAATTAGGCCACGCCCACGCACCCCTTTTGTGACACGCAAAGTCAGTGTGGAAGCCTGATTCACTTAACAACGGTGTTACTAACTTAACAACTGGAGTGGTTCACTTAACAACTATGGCAAGAAATGTCTTTAAATGGGGCAAAACTCCCTTAACAAATGGCTCACTGAGCAACATAAATGTTGGGCTCAGTCGTGGTCGTAAATTGAGATTACCTGTAGTTCTTGACTTATTACCACAATGGAGCCCAAGCTTTCTCTTGCTCAATGAGACATCTGACCCATTTTACGACCTTTCTGGCTACCGTTGTTAAGTACAGCACTGCTGTTAAGTTAGTTAACACCCGTTGTTAAGTGAATCGGGCCTCCCCCACTGACTTTGCTCATCACAAAAGCGGATCATGCGACGCCAGGACACTGCAAGCGTTGTAAGTATGAACCAGTTGCCAAGGGTCTGAATGGAAATCATGTGACCACACGGATGCTGGAACAGTCATAAGTAGGAAAAATGGTCATAAATTAGTTTTTTTCAGTACCGTTGTAACTCTGAAGGGTCGCTAAATGAACCATTATAAGTTGAGGATTACCTGTGCACTAATCTAGCTCTCCCCCTACGATCTCTGCAAAGCACAGCTTTGCCTTCACTGGAAAAATAAAATATGTACCATGATTAAACCATCTATCATGGTTACTTATCACTGCCATCTGTACAGCTGAAAGCGATGAAAGCTGTCATGAGAGTCTGGATTTTTAAAATGCTTTAACATCCTAGAGATAGCTGGATTTTTTTTTTCCAGCATAACCAATTTAGGGGGCATTGAACTTCCAACTTCCAAACATTAGGGGCGCTCAAAGGTTGTGACAGGTCTTGGGAATTGTTAAGATCTTTTGCTTACTTGTAATATAATTTAAATGTCCTTGGGAAGGAACGACATAAATATCATAACTTTTAAACATTTTGTTTGTTCCAAACTTATTAGGGGAGTCAAATTATAAAAAAAAACCAACTCACAACCAGCAACCAAGAGTTTCAATAGAAGAGAATAAATGTAGCTCAGGGTTGAATTGTGGGGTCCTTGGGGCCTGGTTGTTTTCTCGCAGACGTTTCATGACCAAACTAGATAATATTTTCAGGGTTAGAAGGGAGTGGTGTTTTTTGTTTTTTTAACTGTTTCCTTATAGACCAGTGCCATGATGTGACATGCACAGCCATTTGTGCGGGCACGCAAGCTCCCAGCTGATTTTCGGCCCGTTTGAGGCCTTTTTTTGCCTTCCTGGGGACTTGAGGGAAGCCTCTGCGGCCTTTGGAAGCCAAAAAAATGGGGCCGTTACGGGAAGTGCCAAAACCGCCCTGCTTTTTGGCCTCCAAAGGCTTCCTTTGAGCCTCCGAGAGGGCGAAAAAGGCCTCAAAGAGGCCGAAAATCAGCTGGGAAGCGTGCGCATGTGCGGTGCAGATAAGGGGTGCGTGTGCGTGTTGCACACGCGCATGGAGGATGGGTGCATTGCATTGTGGGTGTCGGCACGTGCATGCGTGCGCGCTTTCGGCACACCACACCCAAAAGCTTCACCATCACTGGACTAGTGCCTTGCTGCGGGAGAGTTCTTGGTGGTTCCTTGAATAAGTTGTCGTCCGTGGTGGGTTTCAAATAATCCTACCAACGGTTTGCTGAAAATGTAAGCGCGCATGGCTTCCACGCACACGTGCGCGGCTTCCTGAGGCGCGAATCAGCTGAGCTAAAAAAAAAAAAAAAAAAAAAGGGAATTTAGGACAGGAAAGGGGGGGGGTCAAATGGGTGGGGCCATCCAGAAGTGATATGGGCTGGTTCTCCAAACTACTCAAAATTTACAACTACCGGTTTGCCTGTCGCGGTCTGAACTGGCTGAATGGCACTTCTGGTTGTTGTGGACTTGTTAGCTTATTTGTCTAAATGGGTAGTTTTGTAAGCATCCCCTGTAGTAAGTACTGATGATGTAATCTAGTTGGGTAATTCAAAGTCTATAAGAGAACAATGTTCAGAGAGCACCAAGGACCCCACAGTCTTTATCTTCCTCCTCCTCCTCCTCTTCCTCCTCTTCCTCCTCCTCCTCTTCCTCCTCCTCCTCCTCCCCCTACAAACCACATTTCTGTTAGGCGTCCAGAAATTATCCAGGGTAATCAATCACTCCGAGACAAGTATAAGCTCCAATTGATCGATTAGAACATCTCTGGTACATCTATGGAATTTCCCAAATTGAAAGTCGTTTTTACCGAGAGTTTTCACAAAATCCACTTTCCCTTCTCCCACTTCTTACACTTCATCAATCACCGGAACCAATTCACTGCGGCTGGAATTTTTTTTAATGCGACCTACGAAATAACCTTGAATTTTCCAACGCCTCCACCTGGCTTTCATTCCTTCACAATTCTTGGAAGCTGAATCTCAGAGCTGACGGTTCCCTTCTATCAGTGTTGATGTTATCTAGTTGGGTAATGAAATATTTGCAAGGAACAGCCAAGCTCACAGCGCACCGAGGAGCCCCACCGGCCCTTCTCCTCCTCTTCCTCCCAAATCCCACTCTCTTCTATATAATACTGCAAGAAAACAGCCAAGCTCAGACAGCAGCAAGGATCCCACTGTCCTTGGCCTCTTCTTGCTCTCCACTCCCTTCTAGCACTGATGATGTTACCTAGTTGGGTCTTGAAATGTCTACAAGAAAAAAAGCCAGCTCTGAGAGCACCAAAGACTCCACAATCCTCCTCCTCTTTCTTCCCTCTGCAAAGCTCACTGATGCTCTTGCCTAGTTGGGTCCTGAAACGTTGTTTTCAAGAAAACAACCAAGCTTAGAGAGCACCAAGGACTTGATAGTCCTCCTCCTTCTTCTTCTTCTGTCCACAATCCCCACTCCCTTCTAGCACTGATGAGGTTCCCCAGCCAGGTAATAAAATGTCTGCAAGAAAACGACCCAGCTCAGACAGCGTCAAAGATTCCGCAATTCTCCTGCTCCTCGTTTCTCTGCAGACTTCACTCCCTTCTAGGACTGATGATGTTACTTAGTCGGGTAATAAAATGTCTGCAAGAAAGCAACCCAGCTCAGAGAGCATCAAGACCCCCCCCCCCCACAATTAAGGGCTGGAATGTTCTGGGGGCAGAGGGGCTTGCAACCCCCAGCCCTATGCTCCAAGGCTCGGCTAGTGGTCAGAACCGGGGGGGGGGGGGCTTCACCTGGGGCAGGCAGCAAGTCGTCCGTGTTCACGTTGAGAAGTCTGGGCCAGACTTTGCAGCGAATCTCGTCCATGAGAAGGCCTCCTTCGCTGATAGCCATGCGCCGAAGCGGAGCAATGTCCACCGGCTCATTGTTTAACACTTGGTAGATCTCGGCTAGCTTCCTCTTCTGCTTGGCGTCCGAATCTGAAAGAGACAGAAACCGACATCCGTCAAGGGCCGCTTCTCCCCACCAACCAGAACTGGCCTCAAGCCAGTCTGGCCTAGTGGTTAAGGTTCCGGCCTAGAAACCAGAAAGTGGTGAGTTCTAGCCAACACCTTAGACACGGAAGCCAGCTGGGTGACTTTGGGTCAATCGCCAGGAGACGGTGAGTTCTAGTTCTGCCTTAAGGCACGGAAGCCAGGTGGGTGACTTTGGGCCAACCGCCAGGTAAGTTCTAGTCCTGTCTTAGGAATGAAAGCTGACTTTGGGCCAATCACCAGGAGACTGGGAGTTCTAGTTCTACCTTAGGGATGAAATCTGGAGGGTGACTTTCGGTCAATGACTAAGAGACAATGAGTTCTAGTTCTACCTTAGGCGTGAAAGCCAGCTAGGTGACTTTGGCCTACTCATCCTCTCTCAGCCCAACCCATCACAGGGTTGTTATGGGGAAAGCAGGAGGGAGGAGCATTAGGCCTGTTGGCCACCTGGAGTTCATTATAAAGTAATAAAGGTGGGATAAAAATCGAATAAGAAACTCAGGATCAAAGCCCGAGAAGGGAAGTCCAACAGACATCAGTCTAGCCAGCTGAACCAGGATTTTCAAAGGAAGTTGTTAGGAATGTAAGTCACTTAACAGTAGGGTTGGAAATATATATAAACCAGGATAGACAATTTAATACTGTCTCTTTAAGGGAATGCTAAACTTGTAATGGGGTGTGGCTCCTCAAACGGCCATAAGGTGGAGCCAGAAACCTGGGTTGTATAGTCCTGTTGTTGATAGTTGCTAGTTGGTGGATGCTCTGATGTTTCCTGTTTCCTGAATATTTCCCTATTGACCGTTGCTGATCATACCATGTTTCTCACAAAATAAGGCCGGGTCTTTTTTTTTTTTTTTTTTTGAGCCCCGAAAAAACAGCTAGGCCATCATTTCAGGGGTGACTTAATCCCCCCCCTTGCATCCTCGCCTAGAGCGCCTGCGGGCAGCCATGCCTCGCCACCAGCCACTCCTAACGGGCGATCGTGGTGGAGTGCGGAGAGCTCCCTACTCCCATCACGCACCTTTGCTGCAGACCCGAGACCTTCGGTGCCCACCGCTGTTGCTTTCCCTTCTGCCCGTTCCGCCGCCGTGTTTGGAGCTGCCGCTTCCGTGTTTGGGGCACCGCCGCCGTGTTTGGAGCTGTCGCTTCCATGTTTGGAGCACCGTTGCTATTTGGAGCACTGCCACCGCTCCAAACACACTCCAAATGCGGCGGCGGTGCTCCAAACACAGAAGCGGCAGCTCCAAATGCAGCGGCGGTGCTCCAAACGCAGAAGCGGCAGCTCCGAACGTGGCACCGGTGCTCCAAACGCAGAAGCGGCAGCTCCAAATGCGGCGGTGGTGCTCCAAACGCAGAAGTGGCAGCTCCAAATGCAGCGGCGGTGCTCCAAATGCAGAAGCAGCAGCTCCAAACGTGGCACCGGTGCTCCAAACGCAGAAGCGGCAGCTCCAAATGCGGTGGTGGTGCTCCAAACGCAGAAGCGGCAGCTCCAAACGCGACACCAGTGCTCCAAACGGCGGTGCTCCAAATGCGCTCCAAACAGCGGTGATGCTTCAAACGCAGATGTGGCAGCTCCAAACGCAGCGGCGGCATGGGCAGAAGGGGAAAGCAACAGTGGCGGGCGCCGAAGGTCTTGCGTTTGCAGCAAAGGTGCTTGGTGGGAGTAGGGAGCTCTCTGCGCTTCGCCATGATTACCTGTTAGGAGCGACTGGTGGTGAGGCATGGCTGCCTGTGGGCACTCCTATCGGCAAGTCTGCTCCACCCTTTCCCCCATTTCACATGTTTTAAAATAGGCCTAAATTTGGGGGGAGGGGCTTAATTTCATCTTATGCCTATGAAACATGCTGGGTCTTCCTATTGCGGGGGGGGGGGGCGTATTTTTGGAGAAAAACGGTTGTTCTTTTTGGATTTGATGTAAGTCTGTTACTGAACTGTTTATGATACTAGACTTTGGGTTTTTTTGATTATCCCTGGACTGAATACTGACTGCCTTAACCGTGTATGACTTGGACTGCTTGTTGGACTTGGCTTAACCATTTACTGGAAGTAAAAACCTACACGTTACTATACAGTGTACCTGTGTGCTGGTTGTGTGTTATTTCTCACCACTCTCACTACATCTCCCTGTGTGCACTCATTCTCCTAACTGGGAATTACCTCAACAAAAGTCACACCCTTGCTTCCTAACCTGAAAACATTCTCACTTCAAGGCTGTTTTAAAAAAGATAGCACCCACCTTTACAAAAAACAAACCCACAGATTTAAATTGAAAGATAAAGGAGCAAAGAAATATTGATGTGTAAAAAGCATCCAATGTGCCTAGAAATTTTGCATTTACATCACGTCTGCCCTACATTCTGATCAAAGCCAGGAAAAAGTTGGTCATCCTCACTTATTTATTTCACAGGCCTTATTATCATCAGGAAAAGGAAGAAACTATATTACTGTTGGGGGAAAAATAATGCAATCACCTCAGAACAGGTGAGTCCAGAACATAGTAGCACAACCTGTTTGTATTTAAAGCCCTCTTTCATAATACACCTCTTACCTAATTGAGTATCTGATGTGCAGTTTTAGAATTCATACTCAAATAATCCGATCGGGAGGGTTTAATCTGGTGAAGCTCTTGTCTTTTGGCTTGGATTTAATACATCCTATTGACCTCAATGATCTGAATTCTTGGTCTTTAAAAAAGGATTTCGGAATAGGTAACATAACAACCTGTTCAGCTGCATGTGGCACATTTCATAAGTTCTAAATTTCGCAAGCTTTAAAGAATATAACACCAACATATATCAGGATACCTGACCCAAATACTTTTCAGAATTAGTAGGCCAAACCAAGAGGGGGAATGCAAACTGTAAAAGGGCAAATACTGACGCTAAAATGGTTGTATGGAGTTATATGAACTACCGTAGAATACATCTTCCTTTTTTATATAAATTTATTTTCTCTTTTACTGTGTTAAGCACCAAATTTTAAGGAGAAAAAAAAACACCATTATAACTTATGACTTCGGTTACTAAACGAATGGTTGTAACTTCGGCCCTTGTAATTTCAGTCACTAAACGAATGGTTGTAAGTTGAGGACTAGCTGTAATGGCAAGGCAGTGGGAGCAAAGGGCTGGCTTAGATCCCAAAATTGATTTTGCCCTCTTTTTTTTTTTTTTTTGTCTATTTGTTCCCTCCAAATTGAACTTAGCTTTCCTTCTCAACTCTTAAAATGGATTCTTTACATTCGATTTCTCCAATCTCAGCCGGAAAAATGAGAGGATTTATTTGCTTGGCTAGCAAAGCAAGGTAAGGAACAATAATCGGCTTTATTGCCCTTGATATTAAAAACAAAACAAAAAACAGAACCAGGTTTCCACTATCGGGAGTCCACCATTTCATTTAGTGACTGTTCAAAGTTACAACGGCACTGAAGAATGGGACTTAGGACTATTGTTCGGAGTTACGACCTTTGCAGCATCCCCATGGTGACGTGACCAAAATGTAAACGTTTTGGCAACTGATTCGTATTTATGACGGATTGCAGTGTCCCCGGGGTCTTGCTCTCCCCCTTTTGCAACCTAAAGTCAACGAGGAAGCCACTTAACAACCGTAGGACTAACGTAACAACTGCGGGGATTCACTTAACAACTGCAGCAAGAAAGGTCATGAAATGGAGTGAAATCCAATTAAGAAACGCCTGACTTAGCAACAGAAATTTGGGGCTTGACTGTGGTCGTAAGTCTGTAGAACCAAGCCAGTTTTTCTGCAGGTCGTAAAAGTAAAGGAAAGAAAGTTATTTTTTGTCTCTATCATCCAAGCAAAGATGCTCTTTCCAAATATGGGATGTCTTCGAAGCATAGGCAATTAAAATAAAAGAGAAAACTGAGATGCAAATATAATGATGGCTAGTTAAAAGCATTCAACCTTAAAAGTATGCATTTTAAAAAGAAGAATTCCCCCGAGGAGGAGGTGCATGCGAAAGTATCAGCCTCTGCCATTTGAATAAAAGATGCAATAGGAAATATTATTTATTTATTAGAGAATAGAATAGAATAGAATAGAATAGAATTCTTTATTGGCCAAGTGTGACTGGACACACAAGGAATCTGTCTTGGTGTAAATACTCTCAGTATACATAAAAGAAAAGATATTTTTTAAGAATCAAGAATCGTAACGTACAACACTTAATGATAGTCATAGGGTACAATCAGCAATCAAATTATCTTGCCTTTTGATGAGTAACTCAATGTCAGCTGTGGAAGCCATATTAGCACCAGTTGTTTCCACACTGCCACATTCTTTTTTTTATATAATTTTATTTTTATTTTTTAATAACAAGATAAACATAAACATACATAACAAGATAAACATAAACATACCACAAAAAAACAAAAATATCCTTCTTCACTGCCACATTCTTGAGCCTGGGAAAATAATGGGAGGGGGCAATTCCTTGGAGTGTATGTGGTTAGACATAATAGCATTTTTCTTCTAAGTCAAGGTCATGTTATTTCTGCACCTGGGTGAGAGGACGTCTCAAGTCGGGACGGAGGGTGATTGGGGCATGAGATGCCATGAGGGGAAGAGGGGGTGGATTTGTAATTTCTTACTTACTGCAAGGAAACCCGCAACTTTCAGATGCGGGATTTTCCAGATGTGCCAGTTTACTACTCAAATAAAAAGAACCTTGGAGAGGACGAGGTCCGGATCGGAGTTATTTGTTGGAGTTGAATTGAGCCCTGAATTTTTGTTGCTAAGTGAGAGATGTGTTAAGCTACGAGGCAAGAAGATCCTTAGATAGGGAAGAAATCACTTGATATACAGTTCAAAAATATTAGGTTAGGAATCTGTTCTTCAGCTGGGAAGCATCATTTGTGTTGAGGGCCCCTGGGTGCTCTCTGAACTTGGTGATCTTCTTGCAGACGTTTCATGAGCCAACTAGGTTACATCAT